ACAGTCTCCTCTTGGGGTGCACAAAAGAAGAACAATGAAGGGCACAGTGTGACAAAAGCTTTGGTATTTAAGTGTAAAGCATTGCTGGGTGGGTTCCTCATAGGTGCTAGAACCCACTGTAGAGCAGCTTTAGAGCGTGTCACCTGTTGGTGCCTTGTGCCTCGAAGGTCAAGATGTGCAGCAAGAGCTCATCCTGCTGCTCTGCCAAAGAGAGCTTGCCTAGGAGTTTAATCTGTTCAGGTTTCTGTTTTCACAAGCATTTAATTTTTTTTGGTTACCTATTCTCTGGATTTTTTCTTTTTTATTTTAGGCTGGAAAAGTAAAGATGCAGTCCCTAAACTGGTTGCTGACTACTTGGAGAAAAAGTTTGTTCTGGATCCATTAATAACCCACATGCTGCCTTTCAATAGAATCAATGAGGGATTTGATCTGCTGCAGAAAGGGAATGGTAAAGACTGTTATTTTTAACGGTTCCGTATAGATAACTTGGAGGGATGCACAGTAGCCCAAAACTTCAAGGCAAAGTGAAGAAAGCAGCCCAAAGTGCCCTTGTGTATTATTCCACGTAGCGTGTGGTCCGCAGGTGTTTTTTTCTGAACGCAGGATCCCTGCTTTTCCCTCCATGACAATTTTCAGATTCTCTCTGTTTTCTTTGAGTTTGAGTGATACCTTGGGGATACCAGAGGGGAAAAAGCCTACCCAACACAGCCATCCTGTGCCTGCTGGAAAAGAGGAGGGAACGAGAGGAGCCTGTGAAAATTTGCACGTGTGTTGGGTGATGCACACGATGTACATCACGCCCCAAGAAACGTTTGAGGATGTGGTGCAGGAACATGGAAATAGATGGTGTTTACTGCAAAAGCACCTCAGCACTGCTGCTGTGAGTTACGCAGCAGAGTCCCGGGCTAGTTAGTTGTAAAGACACTGAGTAGCTTAGCTGGAAATTCAGGGCCTTTCAAAGGAGAAATTTAGTTTCACCCTGTATTTGAAAAGTGACAGCGTAGCTCTCATGCACCCTTGGGTATTGTGGGAATCGCGGGAAGCAGTAATATCTTAGATTTTTCAGAGGGAAGAGCAGTACCTCACTGATGCTGGCGCAGGGGCTTTTCTGCAGTCTCTAAGCTGTCCTTTTGCATTGCAGTATTCGCAGCGTGCTGGTGTTTTAGGATTCCCAAACACTAAGCGGCAGATGGCTCAAGGGCGCACAACCGCAGCACGAAAAAAGGCATTCCT